GGTATGCAAACAACTTTTGTCAATAGAGCCAACACGAACCAAGAAGTTTTTAGAAGAGCCAACATTGCAATTCAAACTCGCCAAAACCCGACTTGTACAATTCAAAAGATCAGCGAGCTGCTGGGTCAAAGAAGGATCGCTTTAGTTGGACACATTCTAAGACAACCGCGTACAAATCCTTTGAGAAATGTATGTTTTCGGCAAGATACGGCGGCTCCTTTTGAAGTGCTGTACCGTCGACCAGGTCGACCCCGAAGGCGATGGATAGACTCCACCTTGAACATTGTCTGGGAAAAAATACGTCCAAATGGTGAAGGATTCAACCAATCGCCTGAACAACTGGCACATATACAGAATGCGGCAAGAAACTACCAATTGTAAAAAAGCAGGATCACACAAATGAAAGATTTGACTCACCAGGTTTTTACCTGGACTTCGATACCAAATTGATATTAATGAAATGCTACAGCTTTGACCGAGACGCAGTGGTAATGTGAGCGCGCCGCGGTTGGCGTAGGGGTGCCTACGGGCGTGTAAATACTTTTTGTGTACAGTACTTAGTATAATGTGACCCACACGCCTTTGGCAAACGAAAGAAAGAAAGAAAAAGGACTCTAGGCAGTGGCTAGAGTCACAAGACGCCAACAAAAAGCCAACAGGCAATTGGTTCTTTCTGAAGCATTCTTTTACTCCCGGGCTCATTTTAGTGAGGAGATTGGTGGCTCATTGCTGGATCAGACGGTGGGATATTGACCAGAAGAGTCACACATGTGTTAAAAAGAGAAGCAGGCAAGCAAGAGAAGGCATTCTTCCAAGAAGATTTGGCAGATACCTGCCCCTGAGTGACGACGTGCTTCCTTCCGTCATGGTGCCCCTCATCCTGGTCTGCGGGTTTTACTTCTGAACAAGAACCCAACATTGGATATGCTTTTGGGACAAAGGTTGCGGTACGTTTTTCCATGATGTTGCGTTTCCTGAATAACTCCCGTGAGGATCTTCTTTTGTTAGGCTTCTAGGCCTCCGGCACAGCCGCTAGAGGTGACTTTGGGAGCAAAAGCTTCGCTCCTGGTTGGCGACCTCGTCACGATCAGGGCAGATCAGTTGCCAGGATTTGTTGGAGAGGACCGGCCCTATTTACATTCAGTTGCGCGCAGCGATGCCCCACCTGTGGAAGTCAATGCAGCCTTGTCTGCACCCAGCGAAGTGAACCCATGCATCCCCATCCGCTTGAGCTCGGAGCTTTCAACTGGAGATTCTGGCCGTGGCTCAGCTGGATCTTCATCTCATGCTTTTTTTAAATGTAGCATTCAAAGTATTATAGACTTCGTAGACCTCTTGCCCGTGATGTTTTATCGTTGTGTATGTAACAAACGAGTGAGGCAGCATGCTGGCAGAATGGCGACTGGGCAACACCACTGGTCTCAATGACACCCAGTTGACAGCTTTGTGGGAGCAAGTCTACAACGCGACCAATTCATCTGATGCAGTGCTTGAACTCAATTTCTTGGCCCAGGCCGCATCGAAAGCAGAACCTGTTATGTTTTTCTGCGGGCCGGCTTTTAGAGCAGAACGAAGCAGCAGTTTGCAACCATTAACCCAGGCTCCATTTGTAAAGGTTCATCCAGGGGACAATGGGACACTCTCAGATGGGGCACATCCATTTGGTCAGTGTCCTGGTCTATTTTCTACGGACTTTACGTCTCGGTCTAGGACGTGCACCAGCCGCATATGGATGCGTCAATCGAAGTCATCGTTGGCCTGACGAACTGGCTTCGCCAGAGTGATTCAGCCCGCGCAACAGTGAGGGCTGCTTGGAGTTTGCGTCTTGTTGCAGTGTTTTTTCCCTCACGATTTCGACTACTTTCTTCTCACTTGGATTGGAGAATTGAGGTTTCATCTGCATATTCAGCTCCCCCTCTTCGGCCGGTGGCACCTTCGATTGAGGTCAAGGTGTCCTGGAAGAGATGTTCTGGAATTCACGACTGGAGGATGCTGCACTTTACACAAACAAATAAGATCAACGGAAAAGATAGTGATCATATGGTGATCAGAATGAATTTCTATAGACTGTGAATTATGATAGATTCATCTATAGTTCAAATACTGTAGTGTGTTTCTTATTGCCATTGCAAGGCTTCAGATCCTGTGGAACTTGCAGTGGAAGTGCAAGCCAATCCATGTGCATCCGGCGGGCTGGTACAGATCACTTGGGCTGTTTGGCCCCAAGGAACTCTTACAGGTTGGAGAAGCCTTGAAGCCTTCGGGCTACAAGACCAAAGGCCTCAAAGGCAAACGGCCATCCACATCGCTTCCAACAGCTTTGATCCGGACACGAAGCTCAATTTCAGAGCCACGGCGGTCTACGAGGCGCGACCACGTTGGCCTGAAACCGCTAGTAGCCGGTACCGGTACCGGTGGTGGATGAGTCCCTAGAAATCATCATAATATATGTGCTGTACGTATGTCAGATTGCAGTATCAGAGTTGACAGTGGAAAGTCTTCAAGTATATATATATATATACCATAATTGACTATAATGTACTGTAGTTAAATGAGTTTGAGTATGGGCTGGAGTATCCAGCAGAATAGACAATGACCCAGCGTAGGGTATCGGGCACAGTGAGGAGATGTTCGGTAGACTGATTCGGATGCTTCGGGAGGTGAAAGCAGCTGGGTTACAGTACAGAAGTGTTCCGAAAGAAATCAGCGACCAATCATGATAAGACTGCACAACGTGCATTGTTCCTACTCTCCCCTTTCTTGATAAACTATACGTAGTAGTGGAGTCGAGCAGCACACAGCAGGGTTCTGTGGAGAATTTCAGGGGGCACAGCTGAGGCAATAATGTTTGCCAAAACACAGAATCATCAGCGCTGATTCCTTTTCAGCTATTCACCAAATTCTCACAGTCTTGTCTATCCGTAGATGTAGTCTCCCAAGCTACTCTTCTTTGTTGTGCCTCCAGCTCGCCTCACTCCACCCTCTTGCATGTTGCTCACCAAAGTCTATTTATACACCACCTTCCTTCTGCATAAATTACAGAACAGGTAGAAGAAGTGCAAGAAGAAGCTGGTTCGAGTTGTTTGTTTGTCCTTAATTCTACTCTGTTTTTCCTTGCTGAGCCATTTCTCCGCTACCCGACCCTCTTCTGTATAGGTAGGGCCGGGGGTTGGAAGCTAGAGTTTACGAACAGAAAGGCACAGTATGAGGGAACAGGTTTCATGATTGCTCTATACTTCTGTCTCTCCACTATACGCTCTACGTCATACCCATCAACCTTTAGTCTTTCTACTCTCGGACTTGCTTCTCCTACGCACTATATAGACTCTTTTGATTATGAATCATTCTTTTCTGCCAAGACTTGCTTTTATTCTACACAATACTGAAAGCTAGAGATGAGGAAAGCGAAAAATGCTGGAATTCCTCAATTTGCTTTCTGTCGATGTTTTTGGTGTTACAGCCTTTTAGGATCATTGAAGGGTTAGAGCTTTGCGGACCATGGTCACAAAGGAGTCTGAACAAGTGTGCATTTGGATGTGAAGTGGTGGGGGGATCAGAATGTTTTATTCGGAGGTTTTGTTTCGTCGTTCTGCGCACCTTGACCCCACAGCAGTTTTGTCTCTGTCATTTGTGATGCTGATGAACGGTTGGTTGGTGAACGGAGTCCCCGGTTGGTGTTGACATGAGGTAGGTGGACATATCGCATTCACTTTCTGGCGCAGAGGGTGGAGCAGACCACGTTGCAAATGGTGGTGGAGCAGGGTAGATGGCCAGTTCCTTTCGATGTCTTGTTCATGCTATGTGATGTTCTGAAACAAGCTTGGACAGTTGTCTTTAAGAATTTGGCTGATAGAAGAAAGGTTTCCGCACTATTTCATGGCTGAACTAGTTCTGGCTCCTGGACTACTTCTTAGATTGATGCTTTTTTGTAGGCAGGCCCATAGATTCTTTTTCACCCTGCACCCTGAACTTGGGTAAGGTAGAGTAGAACCAAAGCGTGTGCTGCTTCGGGGCACCCAATTTGGGGATAGGATTCTGCTCGCTTCTGCCTGCCCTGCTCACCGCCTGGGGCGAGCAAACAGTGGGCAAGCAGATATCAATGTGTGGACACGGGTATTTACATGCATATATAGGCGCATGTATACGTTGCACATGATACGCACAGGAATATCCTGAATTGTTTCCTGTCACATTTTGCGTTCTGAGGGCTACACAGCGATGTCGGAGCAGATCTTCGAAGTGACGATCTTACCCCCTGCAAGGCTAGAACTCCTTTGACCTTGACACTGAAGCGTTGTTTTGGCCATCTAATCCGGGTGGATGCTTATTGCTGTGCAAAATAATAATTGCAGGCCAGAATATGAAGAGTACAGTATGACATGACATCCATCCGAGAGGCCTCTGGCGGTCATCTCCAGCCCAAGCAGTGTCTCAAAGGACTGCAGATTGGTTTTGAAGAGTGTGGCTTAGCTGCACATCTACGGAGCAAGAGGCTTTTCGCACCTCTTGGGATACATGTGCAAGAAGGACAAAAATATAGGCTACTGGGGAGTGATCACAAAGGTAGTACATGATTGCTGAACACCTTGCCTAGCTGTCTGTTCGTTCACAGCAACAGCGTAGCAGTGTGAAGTCATTGAAGGCACACCATCAGAGTCACCCTCAGTACACACCAGGTGTCCTCTTTTTCCTGTCCTTCACCCCCAAACCGCGCGCGCTCCCACAACCACACACCGTTCTCTTGAGTCACAGTCCACAAGCGGACACGTGCATCAAGTCGTGTCGGCAAGTGTCGAACGTGTCCGCAGAGCGTGTCGAGTCAGGCTGACTGGTGCTTAGTAGGGAATAAGATGGAATAAGGATGAATGAGGGAATGAGCCATTTGGATAAAAGGGCATGAATAAAAGGGAATAGAGATTCCTTTGGATCCAGCCACCCTCATTCCCTGCGAGTCGCACGTGTCGAGTCAGGTGTCCGCAGAGTCCAACTTGCGACATTCCTGGAGATGCTCCGACTGTCACTTCGTTGGCTTCGACCTCGCGGCCCTTCCGGAATCGGACAGTGAAGTCACCATTCCAGGCGGCTCGGAGCGGAGATTTTTGCACGGCGCTCGTGGTTTGGTTGTAGGTGCAACACCATGGTGGACATGTTTTTTGGCATGTGAACCAACGAAACTATTGGAGGCGTGACATGGTCATTTGTTCACACCACTTCGAAGAAATTACTTTCTTGGATATAGAGAGACAGCGAGACTTGGAAATCGACTCGCAGGTGGTTCTTTGAATGAGGGCACCTACAACTTCTCCCTTGAAGTTTGGCGGCCAGATGCACGTGAACATTCAGGTGAATCGCAGATCACAGTAGCCGTGGTGAGTGCTTCAAGACCGGCAGTCATTCTGAGCTTTCCCTTCGTGGCCGGTGGAGCGGTTTCAACCAGATTTCCCACTTCTGTCGACGTTGAGGTGACCATTGAGGTGGAAGTTGTGACTGACAGCGAGTGCCCGGTAAATGATGCAAGTTGGAGTTGGGCAGTGTACCACGACAACGACAACAGTACTCCCTCCGAGCCTTTGGAAAGCCTGCGACCGTGTTTTGCCAGAGCAGTTGCTGTGTAGTGTTCATACAAGACTGTTTAATCTGGGTGTGCATGATTCTGGGGTGGCCGTCTTGAACCCTTCTAGTTCTTTGTTTCTATCACCACCAGCTGGGGTCGGCGGATCATCACTTGTAAGACGAGCATTCTAAGTCATGAAATCACTCTTTTTGGGGGGACCTTTCAGACCATGACTTCAAAGTCATCCAACATTATCACATAATTTAGGGGCTTTGGAGGGTTCTCATGTTTTGAAATCTGTAGCCCTATGGTTGCAAGATTCCTGTGGCCGTCGCTTTGCAATTTGGGCTGCACCCGCTGCAAGGTCGCCAGGCAAATCGAACAGCCGCATCAATATTCCCATGAACTCCCTGAAGAAAGGAGGAATCTTGACTGTCCTAGCTTCAGCGTACTCAGACAATCCTTTTGGTTTAGAATCAGAAGGCATGCCCCGAAGGAGCAGTAAAGGCGTTTTACCCTTAGCAAAGGACCGGGCTGGACAGCCAAGGCATGTACTACTTTGCTTTATTGGATGACGATGGCTCGATCCTCGCGAAGTCGCCGAGCTTCCGTGCGGACGGGCCGCCGGTGCCGGGCGTGGTGGAGGTCGAACCTCGCCAAGGTCAAGCGGCCACAGCCTAAGTTGATGAGAAGTTTTTGGTATTGAGGCTATGGCCTCCAAGCTAATAGCGATGGCCTCCTAATGTCTGGAGCATCTAGGAGCATTCTTGTGATTCCGGCAGCCAAAGATGTGCGCTAAGGTGACTACTTCCTTCACTATCGCTACTCATTCTTGGCAAGACGAAGACGAAGAAAGCCTCCAATACAGTCTCTACGCCTTCCCTACCGAGAAGGTGACCTTGAACGTTGTTGATATCTCCAGATCTTTGTTCCAACAACTAGCTTCGGAGGTCATCATGCTTCCTTAATGCTGCATTAGAGCTCCCTAGCTTGTGTTCCTGGCTTATCATAGCGACCAACCCTAGAAGACGGAACCTGTGTATTTTGCAAACGCACACACACAAGCATACACACTGATATTCTTGAGGCCCCAACCCAAAGCTGTGGAACAAGCCCTGAGCTTCCAGTTTGACCAACCCTCTTTCTTTCGATCGCAAGATTGCTTCTGGTGCGCTATTCTTCCCGCCGCTTGCTTGGCGGCACCACCATTGGTGCCACCATTGGACGTCTTCTTGCCACGAATTGGGCGGCCTGCCGCCCACTAGGTTGGCTTTGTCTTCATGCCCATGCCCATATGAGCCACGTCAAGAACCCTTATGATGCAGAGTTTTGGTCATACAGCTGTCCAATACGTTTTTGACGCAGCTCATACTTCCTTTTAACTTTGGTCGCCGCTGAATTGCAACGAATGAAGCCGGCTGAGGGCTCTTTGGGCTTTTCCAGGTGTGTTTCTATCTGCCTTTGAAGCAAGGTCCAACATTTTTGTTGGATATCATTGTGTATCGCAAGCAAAACCATGTTGCGCCAGCAGCTTTGGAGAACACACATATGTATAAGCCCATGTTGAATTGACCTTTCCTAGAAGATCACACTAATGACCTTGAGATATTCCTTAATATTATTTCCGGAGCACTGTATGAACTATGAACATTGGACTTATGGTAACGAACACCTAGTGGACCCCAGGCATTTTGGCGCGCAAGCTGCTCGTGTGCGTAAGCTCTCGTAAGGTCTCGCGTAAGCTCTCTCGTAAGCTTCGTCTGCAAATCCGTGTGCAAACAAGCAGCGGTGTCGCTGCCAGCTGCTTCAAAGCCTTTCCTGGAACTGCAAAATCAAGCGCAGCGTCGCCAACGATCTCCGACGCTTCAGCTTTGCTGAGAAGGTTTTAGACCAATGCCGCTCGTTTCATCCAGGACTGCCTGGTGGCTCCAGGTTCCAGCACAGCTGGCTGGGATGTGGTAGTTCCTCATCACATCGTCAACATCATCCCCGTATATCCTCATCATCTTTAACTTTATCCATCTAGAGTTGCAATGCTTGGCATAAGCTGCCGCTGTGGAGTTCGTCCACCTGGCGCAAGCTTCATATATGCAGCAACCAGTTTCAGCCGCGCAAACCAAAACCTGAGGTTCATGAGCCAGACGTAAAGCCCCAGACGTTGCATGTTAGCATGTCAGCACGGCCTTTGGAGGGAGGAAAGTCGACGGCTTGAGGCGCCACAACACACACTTATTGACATGCGTACTGACTTGAAAGCGGTTGCCACACGCCGGCCTAAGAAACCAAATCCTGAGAAAACCAGGTGAGGGGAGCTGCGCGCCTTTAGTTAAATGCCAGAAGTCAAACTCCACGATGCGACGAGCCGACAGGATGACGGCGTACCGTGTGTGACTGCCGATGCATTAGCACTTTACCAAAGGTTAAGATTTGCAGGTACGTCCAGCTGGCCAAGCTGGATATCACATTTCACTGGTAGCTTCGTTGGACACAGTCCCAGTGAAATGCTGTGTCCCCCTGCTGTAACGGAAAAAGGAACATTCCGAGTGGAACCTCGTGAATCCAGAGGGGACACACGCACACACACACACACACACTTGTGTGTTACAGGATTCTAACAGGAAAGGCTTGTCAATTGGGAGCCTTCAAGATCTAAAACTAAAACTTTTTGCCTGGTGGTGTATAGACAACGGATCTTTCAATCGAAGCTGGTCCTTTCTTTGGGTCGCGCTTTGGAAAGAAGACGCCCTGGCCCTCTTTTTTCGAACCCCTCTCCCCCCTGCCCCCCGCGCGAGTTGCGCGATGCGAGCTGGCTCAAAATCATCATTTCTACACTCCGACTCACTATCATGGAAGTGGAAAAGACCCTGTTCGTAAAGGAAAGTAGTCTTGCAAGGGACCATGCCATCTACTTCCATGTTAGTGAGTCAGAGTGTATCGTTTTTTTAGGTGTCCAGATGATGTAAATGTGGGCTGATGTACTAACCCCGCGCTCAGCTTTTCAGTATTGGCATGCACCTGAACACTACTAATGCACTCCTACCCCAGAAAACGATAAGAGAAAACAACGATAACAATGATTATACCTGCACACCACCAAAGATGGTGTACGCCTTGGTACAGGCTGTGCTACGGGATCCTGAAGTAGGACCATGTAGACCACCAAATGACATCTTTTGATTTGTGATCTTCCACCACAGATGCTTTCACCTGAGAAAACGATAAGAGTAAAACAACGATAACATTGTTTCGAGGTATTGCAAAAGACACGGGGTCTTTACACTACCCCATGTGAGATGTTGATGATCAAACACCCCGGCCGGGCCGGAGTGCAACAAACATAGAAAAGATGACAGGATGATATGATATGCTTAATTTTTTTTAGTATGTTGTAAGTACACCAAGCAAAATGGGTATTGCAGTAGTTGTTGCTCCGGACCGCAAACTGGGGAGCAAATTGCAATGAGGTTCCTGAATGTTCTAAGTTTGACCCATGGCTGTGGGTATTGATTGTCACATACTGCTTTGTCAAGCTGTTTGCGGCAACGCAAGTGCTCGGCAAATCCAATTTTTTGTTCTTTTAAACTTGGCATGCTTGTGAGCTGAGCTTGCGTTCCACCACGTGGATTTGCCCACAGGATGTCCGAGAGGTTGACTACACCGATCCATCTAGCGAACAATACTTCAGCAAACACAGTGGAGTCCTGCTCCGCGGCTGGGCCCGGGAGCTCAGCGGCCAAGCTCGGGCCATGCACACCAAGAGCAGCTGTCAAGCGCTGTCAACGGCCCAGGCCAGATCCAAACGGACTTCGGAGATTCGGATGCGGCCTGGCAACTTTACTCTGGTGGTTCGTTGTCGCGACGACCTCCATGCGGAGGCCTGGAAAGCCGCATGTGATTTGGACGTCGCTTTCCGACAAGGTCAGAGACTGGCGGGGTCTTGTGTTGAGATACTGTAGTACATCTCTTGAGGCCACTCCTTTGTTCGGAATTGTTGCGGGGTTGCCATTCCTGGATTCCTGGCTGATACATTAATTTGGCAGAGTTGGAGGTTTATATGTATATGAACCGTACCTAACTACGGAGCAGCGTGGTGATATAACCAATACTGGTTGATGCCAGTCTATCTAAGGGAAGGCTGGCGAAAAGGGGAGGGAAAGGCAGTGTGCGTGTATGAAAGCAAATAACTATGTAAATACATGCAGGACATGGCGCTTGTGAAAGAACAGCCTGTGCTTCTGGGTCAGAGAAGGAGCAGGGGTGATTTGAAACAGAGGACCATGAGAGTAAGTTGAGCATATGCCACGCAGGTAGATGATCATGAAACATGGTCAATTCATTCCAAATGCTTCCCCTGTGCTTCGACGTTTGTGATGGGTCCGTCTTCGGCGGCCTCTTCGGTCAAGACGTCCGTCACGGCTTGGGCTTCTGGGGCCGGAGAAGGCGATGATGTTATCTCTTTGAACATAGGGCGATTATGTGGGGATGAGTCAAAACCAGGAGCCCGACAAGTCACTCCACATAACGAAAAACCTCGAAGTTCGTAGGTCGACCAGTCGCTCTCCTCGCATGACCCACAGCTGCTTTCTACGAATCGACCAGATCGAGTAGCATCTCTTTCAAGTTCAGTTGAGATTTAGGCTTGAACAACCAGCAAAGAGACTGACCATATTGCTTTGAACTCCAGTGCCAATTTTTGGCAGGCAGAGATCATGCTGACTGGCTGGAGCATCACAGCAGCGGAGATAGATGCGAAGCAGGTGGAAAAAGTCTTGCAGGCCTGAACTTCAAGAGAAGGAATTTCTTTTGGTTGAAAATAACGGGCCAACATTGACTGGATCATGGGAGGATGAAAAAGACAGTTTTTGAGCTATGACTTGTTTTTTTCACTGGATTGTAAGAATTTCAAGTGCCTCCGCCTTTGATTTAAATGTGCGAGGCCTCTGTCTCCTCGGCAGATGGTCAACAAATAGTCATGACAGTGAGTGCCATTGTGGAGAGCAAGACTTCTGGCCCGTCCAGCATAGATATGGTCAATGCCCTGCAGGTGCGAGCCAAGACAAAGTGGATATGTAAGGAGAAGGCGTATGATTTGAATGTTTTGATCGTCCGGTGTGCACCGCTAACCACAAGAAGTGTTATAACGAAAGTGTTATAATGTGCTATAACTATAGTATGAGAAGGTGTAAGGCAGTTTTGATCTTTGTTATTCCCGAAACATGTTTGCTGTGAGGGGTTCTCAATTCTTGCGTAGCAATGATCCTGAGCCAAGATGATTCTGCTTTGTTTGTCAAACGGCTCCTCTGGACGCTGGGATGGGATCTTCCTGCTTTGTCCCCCATGCGCCTGTCTCCCTTGTTGTCTTCCTTCTTGTCTCCCCACTAGCATCCTGTTACGAGAGGATTTCCCCTTGTGTTCCCCGTCGTCTCCCACTCGCATACTGTCACAACAGCCATGGTTGCTGAGTTCAAACCGCCTGAACATGGGGTCGATGTAATTTTGACCACACTCAGCCCTGAATGTTGGAGGTGGCGGCAGAAAACATTGACCCAGAGTCTGAGGTGCTGGAAAACATGGCTTCGGTGGCATCGGCTGTGGTGGGGAGTGGTGCGATGGCTGAGGGGGAAAACGCGTCGAAAACTGTGGACGCAGCAGCTGATTTGCTGGACGACATCATCCAGCTAAGTGGTTCTGAAGGAGTTGACCAACAAGTTGTGGGCAAGGCAGTACTAGGCGAAGTCAAGTGCTTCAATTGTGTAGTTTCACGCTAGTATGTTGACATCTTCGTCTCACTCGTACGTATTTGGCTCAAGGAAAACAGGTGCGACTAGGTGGCGCTTCTAGGTCGTTTTCCTGTAACTACAGGTTATCAGCCGTATCGCCATAAGTGCGGTACGTGCTTGGTACTAGCCCTGGTCTCACCCACCCATAGATAGTGCACTATCTAGAGGCCATGGCTGACGGTGATAGTTCCCGGGGTGACCGCTCACGATCAGGTTATGTTCCCACTTCGCCTGCGATGTCAAGTTCACCTGCTCCTGAGCTCCCTGTTGTTCCGCTGGAATTGCGTGTGCCAATTGGACCACCGACTTTCAGTGCACAGGGGGACCTGTTGCCTAATGTTCAAGCTCCGTCGCCGTTTCAGCCTGAGTTTTCTCCTGTGATGAATGTTCAGAACGTTGATGCAAGACAGATTCATCAACAAGCCGTCTTCGTCAATGAAGATAGGTCAGCTCAGGTAGCTCAGATCGCGGAACTGCGACATCAGGCCATTTTGGCCGAGCATGGGCAACAAGTAGCAGAGGATGCAAGGCATTTTAGAGACTTAGTGGAGAACCAAGCCAAAGTAGCTGTCCAGGAGTCTAGGGAACACATTGAGGCTTTAGCCAATCAACGATTGAGTGACATGAACCAAGCCCACCAAAATCAACATCTTCATGAACAACGGGCTTATCTAGATCGCCTTTCGCTCGAACGACACGCCGTCGTTGAGAACGAACGCGCCTCTGCCAAGCAAAGAGAGGATGCACTTTGGTCGGAGTTAGCTGAACAGAGTCGAATAATCAAGGAGTTGAGAGAGAGGTTTGACAACGCCTCGGGGAACCGAGTGCCTGCACCATCAATGCAGCCACTTGGGTCTCAGGCATCCCCAGCTTTGCCTCCGGCGAGTCTCCGTACTCAGTTGGAGAAGCCCGGGATCGAAGGCGGTGAAGAACCCCATCCGTCCGATGCTGATGAAGAGGGTGGTGACAAGTCAAAGAAAGACAAGAAGAAGAAAGGTAAAGGGAGGAAGAAAGAGAAGAGCCCAAAAAGGGGCCGCTCTAGGGAGCGCAGAAAGAAACGTTCTCCTTCCCCATCACCTTCGTCACCCAGTTCGTCAGGAGGGAGTGATGACTCCAGTGACTCAAGTTCTGAATCATCGCGTCTTGCGCGCATCATCCGCAAGGAGCTGAAGAAGCAGCAAAGGAAGTCGAAAGACAAGGATCATGAGAGTAAAGCCAAAGAAGCTGATAAGATTCTCATTCCTAAGTTCCCTACACCAGAGAAGTACAGAGACTGGAAGATCAAGGTGAGAGACAACATTGCTGCAGCTTCAGCGAAGCCGGATGAAGCAAGGTTATGGGTTGGGAAAGTATACAAAGATTCCCAGACCATTGATGCCTTGGATGATTCGGAGGGATTCGCAACCCTTGACGCAAAGCTTCTTGCAAGCTTGACCAATTGCGCTGAGGGGGACCTTGGTCGGCAGATTGCTACATTCAAGGAGCTACGTGCTCGTGAAGACAAGAACGTGAAAGGAAGGCATTTGCTCCTTCGGTTCCACGAGTATTTTGCCACAAGCATTAAGCATGGGGCAATCTACGGACTCGAAGACCTCATGTCCGTCAAGATGGTCAACGACGACCTCAAGGGCTTTATAAACAAATGGGATAGCGTTCTTGCCGGAATGAAAAAGGAACCAGAAAATAGTGTTCTGGAAGCCTATTTCCGCCTGGCCGTGAAACGTTTCAAGCCACTTGAGCATGACTTGGCCTTGTACGACCGTGCAGCTGATGGAAGCAAAGAAAGAACCTACGACTTCCTGATCACTGCTGCCCGGGCCTACCTCGAACGGAGGAGGTTGGAAAAGATGCGCGACGCCACGAAGCGTTCGCTCGGGTCCAAAGATACTACCATGCCGGCTCCAGAAGAGAAGAAAGGAATCTGCTACGAATTCCAAAAGGCCGGAACATGCAAGCGCGGATCATCATGTCCATACAAGCACGAAAAAGGCCGCGAGAAAAGCAAAGGAAAGGGAAAGGGTAAGGATCGCAGCCAATCTCGATCAAGATCATTGACGCCTGGATCTCGCAAGGAGACTTGCAAGTTTTGGAAGGCAGGGCGTTGCCATCGAGGAAAAGACTGCGCATTCCAACACCCAGAAAAGACTGTCCCTGCGAAGAAAGAGGACAAGAAGAAGAAGAAGAAAGACAAGAAGCCTCGCAAGCGAAGCAGCTCAAGAGGTTCATCAGGCTCCGATAACTCAACTGGCTCAGAGAGTCAGCGGAGGAAAGGTGGGAAATCTTCTTCTTCCAATGCACCGGCAGCAGTCTGCCTCCTTCGAGCAGTGGTCATGGCCGCAGTGGTCTCTCAGGGATCCTCCGTCCTCATCACTCGCCCGCTGGGAAGCGTGGCCATGCCGGTCCTTTCCGCCTCCAACACATTATGCACCGATTTTGACAACACGGAAAACATTGACAGTTTTGTTACGCAAAGAGTTCGTTTTGATGATCAACCAAACATTTTTAGTCATGCTGTTGAGTCTTCTTCCACTTGGAGATCCGTTCAACCCCGAAGTAAGAAGAAAAGAAGATCCTTTACACCGGGTCGACCGGAGCGTGCTGAGGCAGTTTGTGTCGCTACTGAAGACGCATCCATTGCAGCTTCACACCTTCAGAATGCTGTTAGGAACGAGCTTTTGTCCTTGCCGGCGGAATGTTCGTACCTGTGCAACTCCGATATAGGTTGCATCAAGTGTTTTGAGAAGAGGTTGTGTCCATCAGTGCCTGCCACTGAGATTGCATGGATCGCTGACACTGGGAGCGCACACGATCTTGTGTCTAGGCACATGCTACATTCCGATGAAGTGTCTCAGTCGTCCAAACCGGTCAGTCTTCTTACTGCCAACGGAGTCTTTCAAGCCACTGACCAAGCTAGAGTCAATGTCCCCGTGTTGGGGGCTGACATCAATCCGTACGTCTTGGAAGATAGCCCAGCCGTCGTATCGGTAGGACAACGTTGCATCGATGCAGGATGGAGCTTTCATTGGCCCGCTTACAGTAGGCCATACTTCAAGAAACCAGACGGAACCAAAGTCAAACTTGAAGTAGAGGATTATGTTCCATACTTGCCATCAACCACTGGTGTTGCAATGTCCGCCATAGGTCAACCTTACGGTACGAATGATCGGTCCAGGGGACTGCGACCCATGATCCCTCTGCCCGCGTCACCGGCTGAAGAGGCAATTGAGGTCCAAGACGATGAGGACAACCCCATCGGCGAGGATCCTGTTGAAGATGATCCTGAACCAGTGGATGAAAGGTTGGTGGAAAAACCGTTGGACCCGAAGAGGGATAGGGGAGAGAAAGCTCTTAAGGAAGAAGCACAATCAGTTCAGCATCTGTTGACTCATACCCCGAAGAACCCCTTTTGTCAAGCTTGTTCGAGGGCAAAGATGACCAAACGTCCATCGTATAGCAAGGGTGGTTCGACCCAGGTAGAGGCGGATCACTTTGGACAACATTTGACTGCTGACCATCTCGTTATTCGTGACGATGAAGAAATGGACATCGATGGGGCTCGCGTCGCATTGGTCGTGAAAGACGTAGCAACGGATTTCAGATATGTCTATCCGGCCGCACGTCGATCAACACGTGAATGCATAGCAGCCTTCAAGCATTTTGTCCGTTCGACTGATGATGTAGGAGTATTTTATTCCGACAACTCACCAGAACTCATCGCAACTGCCGAAAGACTAGGATGGAGGCATCAAACCAGCTTTGCGTATGTCTCTAAGACTAACGCTATGGCTGAAAGATCGATTCGGTCTGTCATCGATGGAACAAGGGTAAACCTAGAACAAGCTGGCTTACACCACCAATATTGGGCTCATGCTGCCAGGCATGCATGTATGGCAAACAATATCGTCGACACCCGGGAGGGTAGTTCGCCTTGGTCGCTTCGATTCGGTGAGAAAGTCACAGGCCCTTTGGTTCCCTTTGGGTTGAGGATTGATTACTGGATTGGCCCCAAGAACAAGGCCAAATCTTCTCTCAGGTTCGAGCCAACATCAAACCCGGGGATATTCTTGGGATATGCCGTTCAGTCCAATTTTGTGTGGAGAAAGGAGTTCATGGTTCTCCCATTGAAGGAAGTTATGGAATCAGACTTTAGTGCAGAGATCCAACCACTGAGAGTTCATCAGATTGCTGTTCCAGACATCGGTTTACACTTTCCATGTAAAGGCAGGTACAACATGATTAGAGAGGGGTTGTACCCAGGCATTACCATTTCAAGCAATCCGCCGTCGATCGATGACGTCAAGGCTGCAAGTGTTGAGGATCTCGTTGATCAGGAGGTTTTGAGGCATGCCGTAGAACATGAGTATGAACCCGATGATCCACCCGAGCTTCCAGAAGCTCTTGTTGATGAAGAGCCTGTGGGCGCTCGCGGGTCGGGAGACCTTGCCATCGAACCGGGGGGTGAAGAAGCTGAAATGATCGAAGTTTTGGATCCCGTTACGGGTGAAACAACATTGATTCCCAAAGCTGATTCGTCCTTTTATGATGCCGGGGGATACAAGGCAAGGAAATATAAGGGTTCTTCAAAACCACCTACAATCCCTCCCTTCCTATGGAAAGCAGCTTCTAAAGCTGAAAGGAAGAAAGCGATTGCCGAGTATGAGCTCGAGGAGGCACGCAAGCGTCTTCTCGCAGAGAAGAGCAAACACAAGGCAGCAGTGGCAGAAATTGACAACAAATTGCGGAAGTACAAAAGTGGGGATATCCCCGCTGAGACGAAAATGGACGCCGCCTGGGAAGGTGTGCCTTTGATGCCTGTTGAGCATGAAGAGAAACCACATGCACATAGAGAAAAAGCAATTCAGTATGAGCCATGGCTAAACGCCTTAGTGGCCCGGCCCGTAGGCCAGAAAGAAATCCGCAACACCCCAGATGCTCAACGTTCGCTGGACG